AGGATGCAGGACCGGCTGACATGAGACCAGGCCCCGACATCAAAGATTACGAAATGACGATCCCAGGGCTTAGTCTTGACCAGTGGAACAACAAGAACATTCCGCCTGTGCTTGCGAATCTTTTCCTTCCATCGCCGGCCTGCACCGTTGATCAGCTCGTGAAGCGCACGTGGTGCACCCAAAAACCGCTGCGCTGCTGGGAAGACGGAACCAGTCTTATGTTTTCTAACGATGCACCTATAGGCCCGCGCGAGGTCCCCCCATGGTTCCTCTCGTAGATCATTACAGTGAAGGCTCACGCATCAACATTCCCTCTATAAGATTTATGGACAATCTCCCCTTGGGGCGCCGGTCAGTGATCCATCCGGGAGACCCAACAATACCGCTTCCTTTGTGGGTCGTCGCCCTGTGGCGACAGCTGCAAAACATTCACAGGATCCGCAATATATATCTCAACTCGCTGAACATGCAGCAGCCGAATCAGAGCGCGGACGCCCTCTTGCTGGGCATCCGCCACCTACCGGCCATCCGGTTTGGCTGGCCGGAAGTTATCCGCAGGCTACTCGAACGAGATTGTTGGATTAGCGATGAAGTCCTCGATCGTGTTTCCGCTATGATCAACACCCTTGTGCGGGGGACGCCGCGAGAACACGACACAATGACATATTCCATTCATGTCAGCAAGTTTCCCGAAGGGGCGATCACGCAGAAGTTTAGGTCGTGGGGGCGGAAGAAACGTTTCCACAGGAACGCGAACATCCTCGTACCATGGCATCTCCCAGATCACTGGATCCCTGTTGTGTTCAAGATCAGCGAGAGCAAGGTTCTTTACGCCGACTCCAAGCCCCAGTATACGAAGTCCCACAATCTCTGGCCGGCGGCGGAGCGTACCATACTGGCAGCGGCTCGAGGAATAGATGCAGGGTTAAATATTCCCGAACGGCACTGGGTCATAGATTCGGAAACGTTGATATGCGGCGTGCAGGATGACAGTTCTTCTTGCGGCATCGCAACCGCAATGACACTGTTGCGGTATGCCTTCCCCGATCGTCCCTCCTTCGTTTCAGGATGCGCTGCGGAACAGCGCTGGGAGTTGCTCTTGGAATTGGTATCGAACGCCGAGGCGGTATGTGTGGCTCTTATCTTAAGATGTTCCGTGTGACTGACAATGACATCATGCAGACCCCCCTCGGTCGTTCCGAACACGCTAGTGTTTGGGAGGATGAATCCCATCCGCCTCCCCTGGTCCTTTTCAATCCATCGCCGCCGGAGCCCCAGGGCGCCATGTTGGAGCAGAAGGCCACGCCGTCCCGGTTCCAACCGCCGCCATCACATTTCCAGAGCGACCCAGCGGATCGAACGGTTGGTCTACTTTCACCCCGTGCGGTCATCCGGTTCGGCCGACAGACGGTAGAATCTGGACTGATTCGTTCGCTTCCATCACCGGCAACATCGGGAGGCATGTCAGCCGCGGGCCCATCCGAGCTCGCATGCGTTCCCCCATCTACGTCGTCTTTCAATGGTGACATCGCAGCGGTCAAACAAGAGCCCAAGCGCGCCGTACCGCCGCCTTCATTATTTCAGGGCGATTTGGTGGGGCCAATGGCAATACGCGCCGCAAGTCTTTCACTTCCGACGGCGTTTGAAGGTGCGCCGACTGTGAACCAATCAAACCCAGCCCCCTCCCCGCCGCTGATCTCGACTTTCAAAGGAATGATTATTGATATCGAAGGGGAAGACACCAAGATGAACAAGCATTATGGCCTGTGAGAGAAGAGATATGATGTATATGCTTTCTTAGCACGGATTGAATGCTATTGGAGATGTACCAATTGGACGAAATTGCCTTGCTAATTCCTACCGGCTATACAAACACCGTTATTGGATCCGCCGGTAAATACGGATTCTTCTATTCACTTCGGCCACATTGTATATCACACATTTGGTGGCGGCCCATCGCTGGTTGACAAGCCGCGCCGTGCGCTCCGCCAGCACCACATGCTCAAGCTCTGGTCTACGCCCTCAGGTGTGCGCGCAATTAAGTATCATTTATTTGACGCCGACGCCGAAAGCAGCAGGCACACAAACGAACTTACAATGCCTTGTACTCAGCCACCCGATATCCTCAGGGGAATCACAAGCCGGTAAGTAGAGGGCTGGGGTCGCACCGCGCACCTTCACCGCCGCCGGCAGATTCAATCACGTCGTCAGCCCTAGTTCGAAGTTGTGGAATATCCAAAGCGCCCCATACACGCACATCTAGCTTCAGCATGGTCAAGGTTTGCATTCATATTAAATACGCCGCATCTGCGCAAGGATCCATTGTTACTTCGTAATTACACGTGCACGCAATCGTTTTTACTCCGGCAAGCTTCCAAAACGTCATTTACGGTCGGGGGAGCCCAGGCTAGATCGTGGTTCGACAAACCCCATGACTTCATTACTCCCTGCTGGTTGAACAACGCCAGGCATTGACGATCACCGGATACCGCCGGAACACCATGTACGAGGTGCTTTGCGAGAAAGCATTGAACGTTGCCTGAGTCGTAGGGGACCGAGCACCCCAAGGAGTGGTACCCCATGTATGCTTCTTCGCCGTATGTTCCGACACTGGTGACCAAGTCGTAGAAAAGGCTGGCATCGCCGGAATCTCGATGGAAGATGGTTTCCCGGTTCCCGATAATTTGGCAGGCTTGAGTGGGGAAACACCAGGTAGACATGAGGCCCCTTCTAAGCTTGTAGTCGCACAGGTTTTCTCGAACGAAGCGTCTTTGGGAAGGGTGTGTGATTTGTAATATTCCGTCCAGAATGGCACCCGCCCGGCTCATTCCTCGAAGCCAGTCGATGGTTTTTTCTGAGCCGTACCCAGATGTCGCGGCGAGGTTCTCTTTCTGATTCTTTGAGAGCCGTTAGACCGATGGCTATACATAAATGCAGTACCGCGGCGCACCTCTTTGGCATAGGGGATTGCAGCTGGGGAAATTAGGTTTTCACCGATCGGCTTCCGTTTCGAAGCTGGGATTCGCCTGTCCACGGGTGCGAACAGCACCCGGGCCTGTCGCCACCGTCCCTTTTTGTTATTGATGGTCAGCCAACGGCCTTTCCGGCTCGCCTGTTGCGTAGCGTTGATCATTTCAGACTTCATCCTGGTCAGCTTCCAGACACTGATAAGTACGGAAAAGGACTGACTTGAACGTCAGGCGACAGCGCCCCAGGGAGCGACCACAGCATGACGAAGTTATCGGCGTCCGTTACTATACAAGGGTTCTCGTCGAGTAGCGGAAGCTCTCCGTTAGGCTCCGGCGGGACGAGAGGGGCAAATTGCGCAGCCAGTTTGGCTTCGTTGGCCTCGGATGTCAAGGCGATGTTTTTCCCCTTGGCTTCGGCGTACTCCGACAGCGACCAAGCCGTCTTATCTGTTTGTAGCGTTGAGGGCCCGGATATTTGCCTACCCAAGTAAACGCGTACTTACATTGACGCCGCATAGACTTTGCGACCACAGACCCAGACCACCAAGCCGACAGAAAGTCTTTGTCTTCCAGCCCCAACTGCGCTGAGTCAGGGTAATCAGGGGTCGACTGATCCAGAGCCCAAGCAGCGGCATGCGCTTTGAAAGACTCAACAACTACCGAAGAGAGGGTCGATCTGATATCAGGATCCATTCGAGAACGTAGATGGTTGGGGTCTTTGAAGGGAGAGGACGGGGATCTTTTTGGGATCCTTGCATTAGGATCAGATAGAATCGGCGATGCTCACAAATAGTTCCCTGAAAGGGATCAACCCGGCGGCCGCCAGAATCACCGGCGTCTGAGTCGGTATTCAATGGGCGATTTGTCGGGCCGGCATACACGGCGGCCCGCCCGGGGAGCCCAAATCTTCGCAGGCGCCGGCTCCCCGGACGACCCGACCGCCGACGAGCTCCCGACACTGCGGGCACGGGCCCCATTTCCCACATGACGATAGACTTGTCGCAGCCATGCGGAAGGTTTCCTTTGTCCTGAGCAACACCTGTCCATTGCAAAATGTGACAGTTAGCATTTTGTTTGCCTTTCACATCGCTGTCGCACCCAGGGATAGGTTACCTTGCACATGACTATCCTTGACTGTCTCTCCACTCTCGCCTCATGTGACAGTTGTGTGACAGGTAGAATATTGCATCAATATTTCCTAGCGTTACAAGCAGACTGCCTCTGCACTGACAAGTCTATCGTCACGTGGGAAATAGGGCCCGCGCCCGCAGTGCGAGGAATCCGAGAGCCGGTTGCCTGCGACCCGGCCGCTGCCGGTCTTGAGATCTTGAGAGCTTGAGCCTTGAGGCAAGACGCCGGTGCTTCAGATACGGCGCTCTGACGGCCACGGAATGGGTCTCAGGGGCCGGTCGGATGTCCGTCGGTCCGGCGGGGACGCAAGACGCGTCGGACGGCCCGGTTCTGCGCGCCGAAGACAGCCGAGGAATACCGGCCGGTTCTATTTTTTTACTCTCATGTATCGCTCTTCAATAGGGCGCCCAGCGATAGGCATCGGGTACGTTCTCCGCCGCGTCGTGCCAGAACCTCGGACGTTTGAAAATATGAGCTCTTTCTGAAGCGGCGTCCTTCCTGCCGCTTCAGAATTTCGGACCGGCGACCATGAAGAACCGGAGGTTCGGCGTGAGACCGAACCTTGCGGCGTTTGCACCCGCACGACCGAAAGATCACACCATCTCCGTCGATATTCAGGGACCGCCTCGCTTGCCTCCCACCATCTGCCGTCGCTTTTTCGGTCATGTCTCTTGAAGTCAGCTCTACGAACGTTAACCAAGCAACCATAAAATATCAGATGCGGAAGCCCAGCATCACATTTCTTGTCGAAGTACGCCTCGCCGACCTAATAGAAATTTTCACCTTGCTGACGTGACCCGGCGGCCTGTACCGTCTAGTGCGACCGATGCTTTGAATCTGCCGAGCCCGTGGGTTGCACGGGATCCGGAACGCCTTGCGTCGCCTGCGACGCCCGCGCCGCTGTCTGCACGTTGTATGGGGTGGGTGTAGATGGCATTATACGAGGTGAGCATTTGAACGACATCCGTGCAAAGGGGCGGAGCACTGAGGACTCGGCTTGACCAGTGAACGGCGTGGGCCCGGTCGCGTTCTTCGACGGCCGCTCTTTCTGGCTGGTCAAAGACATGAAGGACTCCGGTCGGGCGGTCGCGGAGGGTGTCGTCGACTTTACCATCACGCACCTGCGAAAAGGCGACTGGAAGCGCTGCCAGGGCCCTTCGGTCGAATGCCCCTTCGATGTCATCCCGCTGCAGTTCAAGTTCAGCCGCGAGCACGCGCGGAAGGTGGCGGCCCGAGCACTTTTTATACAGGGTCATTCGAAGACATACGGCGGGTGCAGGGAACAGGAGTTTTTGAAGCTTGGCGACGGCTTGCCCAGATACGGAATCAACGACAGCGACACTCCGTCCCGCCGCATACGCCCGTGCTTCAGGCCTAGATCGTCGAGCAAGCGGGATAGGAGTCCATCCCCGGAGCCAACTGCACTGAAGACGCAAAAGCTCGAGTTGGAGGAGACCAGCGTCGCGTCCACCAGCAGTGATTCTTCTATTCCCATTCCCTCCTCGCCGTCGGCGGGCGCGACCCCGGGGCCCGTCGTCCCTGATACGCGAACTTTGCGGAGCCTCCGCCTTGCGCTTGATCAGTGGAACGTCGTCTGTGAGCTGCTGATCGCGTCGGCGTTTGCGGTAGACAACGTCCTCTCTGGATTGCACTGGGACGACGCGGTGTACGCGGAGTTGGATCGGCTGCAAGGATTCAACGGGTACGACGCAATTCGTCGGTTCTTCCGCGACCGGAGGCGGCTCGCTCGGGCGCTGAGACACCCGCTGCCGGATGGGTTGCAGGTGTATGAAAACAACGAGGACGATGATGGAGAGCTGTATGAGACGGTGGGGGATCAAGACGATGAGCTCCTCTAGAGGGCGGAAGATGAGGACGGTGACGAAATTTAACGCGTTAGATTGGACGCCTTCTTGTGTATCACACTCGTTCACCGCGCCGCCGTCATGTATATATGTGTTGCTCTGCTTGCCGTTATGACACGGTGGTTTCTCTATCCTTTGCTCAGGAATTCCGGACGGAGACCGATGCATCGGCTCACTTCGGCCCCCGCAGGCGCCGGGAGTCGGACCGGGGGCGGCCCGAAATCCGCCGAAAACCTGCCGTATTCGTCAGGAACATCGGATCGGAGCTGTGCCATATACGCCGCTCGGACGGCCGGACCGAATCTTGGCACGCCCGGCCCCGCGGCGGTGGCGGCGGGCATTCCATCGCTCTTACATAATCCGAACTGCGTATAAATAGGAGGCCGGCGCCGCCGCAGAACGGGCCATCGGCAGCGCGGCCCGCACCCGTCCTCCTGGCAAAGTAACCCGCCCTCCATGCCTAGAATCCTGCTCGGTCTCCTGGACGGCAATTTTGCATTGCAACCTCGCTTCAAAATCGATCGCAGAGAAGACGTTCTTCAGCCTGCAAGTTGCTTCAATTCTGAGGGCGTTGATGAATCGGAGGCGCCCGCATCTGATAGGCGCCCGAAAACGGTGAGCCCCGCGCAATTTTGGCGCTGCCGAAAAAGCCTGACGCACGCCCAGGCCGATGAATCCCATGAGGTCGTAAAACGAGCCGACCGCCCTCAGACGGCGGAATAGCTGCACGGGCCACGGAGGGGGCTTCTTTAGCGCTGTTAATTCATATCAGAGTGCGCGGCGAGGATGCCGGGGCGTACAAATC